ATCCCGGTGCGAACCCTATCAAAACTGGGGTCATCGGCCTTGGGCCGCATCCTGGCCGCTGCGAGTCACTTCTACCAGTGACTCTCAACAGCACACCGACAACGACGCACAGCCAGGCAGCACAAATTTTGGCAACACCACTGCTGCCAACTTCTCACTGTCCTCCGTTTCACTCTTCGGTTCTTCCCAACCGATGACGTCACCGCACGTCATTCTTGCTCCTGGCTACTCGCACAGCTTCAGCTACTTGACGTCTGCCATCTCTCCTGTGGTTCCGGCAGACTGAAAGCCCTGCTTACTCGACTTGGCCTGGACAACCCTGCTTCCGATTTCTCTTCTCAGCTTGTCCCTTCAGCGGTTTATCTGAGATTCACCAGCCATCCAAAGTGGCAGGCCTTTTTCTACCTCGGAGCCACTCGCGCCTCCCTCATGGCACGGGGCCGCAGCCAACTTCGCAAACTACTCCAAGTTCAGCGACATCATCTGGTCAATGCCGAACTGGCAGTCCGGTGGTGGGCACATTTTGACTTTTTCCACCACTACACCTCGGTGCCCATTCACACTGTCGTTCCGGCAACGGACCTATTTGCCACTGAACAGTTCTACATCCAGGAACTGCAACCGTCTCTCAATTTTGGCTTCATCGAGAAACATTTCCGGCCACGCACGGGCTTCATACGCCAATTGGACTTCTCCCAATCCCGGCACATGGGCTTCGCCACCATCTGGCGAAAACGCCGCCGACTACGACTACCCATCGCCCTACAACAGGCCTTCCTGGCCAAACGCGTGGACAACCGCCTGGATTTGTGGCGATTTTTGGGCGATCTTGGCAGCAACACTCTACGACGATTTGATGCCATCCGTTACATACGGAGCAGAGACTTCCCACCCGCCGCTCTCTATGTCCTTCATCGCATAGCCACACACCTGCCTGAACCACACCACCAGGCATGCCTTTCCGCCATTCGATCCAGTTTACGATTCCGGGGCCTCATTCCACCTGGCCCCTCCAGACCGATGCTTGCACCCTTCCTCGCCTGGCGACTACTGCTAACCTGGTACCGACAACGACAACCACACTCCTCTACCACACACCTCACAGTGGACACACTTGACACCTCTGCCATCACCCGCGTCTACAACGGACGCCGTCGCCGACACAAACCCACACAACGCACCCTGTGGCTCGACGACATCCCCGAGATCATTCAGGCCACCCTTGACATGCAGATCTTCTCTGTCGGCCTTCGTTCATTCAGGCAAACACGTGGGGCACCGATGGGATCCCCCGCGTCCCCAGCTCTCTGTTTGATGGTGATCGCGGTCGCCGAACAATGTTGGACCAACACTCACATCACATCGGGACTTCGCTCCGTTGAAGATACTCTCCTACTCCGCTACGTGGACAACAGACTCGTGATCGCAACCCCCAGGTGGCTCTCGACTCCGGCAGCCAACATACTGTGCGACGAACACTTCTATGGAGGAGACATCTTCCTGGACACAGAAGCCGCCCTGGACTTCTTGGGGTTCCGACTGAACCTCACAAGCAGCACCATCTCCTTCATCCCCTCGCATGAGAAGCACAACATGCTCTCCGTCAAGTCAGCCGCACCACTGATGCATAAGGAATCTGGATGTTATTCCGGACGCACGCTGATCAACCGAGTTTCCTTTCCTGAGTTTCAGCGAGGTCAGGGTCTTGCAATGTTGAAGAGGTTGCACCTCCAACACGGTTTCACCTTACAAAGGGAAGGAAAACCGTCCTTTGCGGAACCACACTGGTTTTCTTCTCTGCCTTTGCATCCTGACAGATTTGACCTGATTTTCGCGCCGCAGCTGTTTGACTGTTTGACCAAAATCCGTTACGAGCATGGATACCAACACAGCACGCCAGCTGCTCCAAGACTTCGAACTCATCCTTGGCATTGCCCAACAAGGCATCGCCACCATCCGCGAGTTCCCTGAGAGTCCGCCTGCCGAACCTGATTTGGCACCGGAGGCCACGCTCAACCCCGCCATTGAGGACCTGACCAACTCACCACCAACACCCCTCCTGGCCCCCCTCGAGGACCTCTTTGAGCCACCTCCTGATGCTCCAGATGAACACCTTCCCACTGATCATGACGAACAATTCCCTGATCATTGGGCTCCGCCCACCCCTCCTTCGTCTTCTCCCGGCGAAAAAGGAGCTCGCCGCGCACGTGATTTGGCCTCCTCACGATCTACGGCATCCAAAACCTGCTCGTGGACCAAGCGAAGCTACCACATCGACCAGGACTGATGCCTCTACTGAGGCCGAACCTGAAGCCTCGCAGCCTTGGACTGAGGGAGAGATTGAACTCCTCCGTTCCCTTAAGACCAATTCCAAAGCCAAGTATGTGTGGTCAGTCATCGCCACAAGACTTTCTCGCACAATTGATGCTTGCAAGACTCAATGGGCCTTGCACAAGTGATGTCGCCCCAGTTGGGGCTCCGTGTGTGTGAAGCGTCCTGGAGCACGGACGGAAATTCCACATTGCAGGGGGACTGGAGCCGATTTGCCTATCCAGTCCAATGAAGCTACGGCATTTCGGTGGATACCGGATCTGATCAATCCGGCGTACCTGCCTATTTCCTGACCCTCTTTCCTGATTCTTTTTGCGGTTTCTGTTTGTCGCTGTTGCTTCCTGTTCGGTGTCGATGTTGTGACCTGTTGATTTGCATTTGCATTCAAGCATTTTTACTGACTGCGTTTTGCATCTCGGCTAGTGAAGCCTCTCGAGATAAGTGTGTGTGTGTGTGTGTGTGTGTGTGTGTGTGTGTGTGCGGGGACTTGTTCTTGTATGCCTGCACATGCATGCAAATACACATGATATCAGGCATGCGGCATGCTTGTTTGCAGGTACGATTTCCCTACGGTGCTTTGTCCGTAGCTTCACAGAGGCATTCTGCACCGGAGGTTTGGAGGCGAAAGTCGAAGCGCCGGGACCTTAGCTTCGGCTACGGTGATAGAGCTCAGCGCATGGAGTGACTCTGTGATCGTCTTTGAATCCGAGACCCCCCAAAACTGGTTGGCTTTCCTGTGGTTTGCCATTTTGACACGAACCTTCCTTTTTGGGTGGCCGCAAGTTTAGGATGCCCCCCGCACTAAATGTGTGAGGCGGGCTTGAAGCGAGTCTCAATGGCTGAGGTTCGTCTGCAAGCACAAAGTTGTTCGGGAGAACTTGCTGTGCTCCACAATGTGAGACGCGGGAAAAAACAAAACACTGGGCGTTCGATCTACACAGGGCAGAGTTGACTTGTTCTTATGTGCCAGCCGGACATTAATTGACCTTGTAAAGGCAAAACAATAATTTGGCAGTCGATGCGGTTCCGCTTCTTTGTGGCACCCTCAACCATTGTTTTGGCAAGAACCACCCTAATCCAACCCTAAACCACCGCAAAACCACCACTAAAGCACCACTAAAACGACCCTAAACCGCCACTAAAAACTAGAACCAACCTTAAAACCAAACCTAAGTCAACCCTAAAGAAACCCTAAAGTAACCTTAAACCAGCAAGACTCCCAAAGAAACTCCTAAACAAGCCCACTCTAAACCAGCTAACCCCACCGGAACCAACCCTAAGTCCACACTCAACAAGCACAAAACCATCGCCAATAAGCCCACCTCAAACCACCCCCCCTAAGCAAACCTTATACCAACCCCCCCCCCCCCCCACTAAACCAACCCCAAAGCAACCCCAAAACCAATCCCTAACCCTCCCGTAAACCAGCACTAAACCCAAACTAAACCCGCTCTAAACCCACCCTACACCAACCCTTGACAAACCCAAAGCTAACCCGACACCACGACAATCTTGCCCAAAACAAGCCTGGAGCCCACCCTGAACCAACCTTGAGCCCACCATAAACCCAGCCTAACAAACCCAACTCGGGATGCTGAGGATGTTGAAAAGGATACTGCCGAATTAAAACGATGCCGGGGATGTTGACAGCGCTGGTGCAAAACGAGTCAAAAGCTTTGGCTGGCGCAATGCTTGGAACCGAAGATGAATCTCATGTCAGTGGTGCGTTTGAAAGTGTTTGCTCCAGAATTGGCCAGTGACCTGTTGGGTTGCATCCAACGAGAAGAAAGGAGCGGCATACCCGAGCAGTTCGGGTTTTGCCAGGCACGCTCCGCTACCCCCATTTTTCCTGGCGCGCAGACTTATCGAACTCCAAAAATGCACCACCTTTGTTTACCTTTTCTTAGACTCGCAGGCCTTCGAGCTCGGAGGCTGGCCTCTTCATCATTTTCCTCTTCACACCCGGCCCCAGGGCCAGCCCCAGGGCCAGCCCCAGGGCCAGCCCTCCTTGCCCCGCAAGTTAGGAAAATGAAGAGAGGGGTCGGCGGATTATCAGTTCCAGATGTCTAGCAGCCCGGTGTCAAGAACAATGGGTTGTCTTGCATCTTCTGCAAGGATCCCGTACAGCTTGGGAACCTGACGGTTGTAACTCTGATCCGGCAGACTTGAGCCACCAGAGCAGGCATATCACGGAGGCAGCCTGCAGATGTGGATGGTGAGCATCAAGAAGAGCATGTGGCAGTGTTTTGCCTGACTTGTACCCTAAACTTGGCACATTTGCACACACACACACAGTCCCTAGCCTCTCTGTCATGCATATAGGGGGGGATTTGTCTTGTCGTGGTTGATGAAGCAGTATCAGCAGCCCTACTCGCGTAGCAGCACCTTCAAGCGTACATACATATCACGAGCAGTTTGAGCAATGGCATGTTCCTTGTTGAAGCAAAACACTGAGCACAACTCGCTTGATTCTAGCAATAGCTTCTTTCCTGCTTTTGCTGGGTGGATGAGTTCAGAGAGCCGATCATCAGGTGGTGATTTGACTCGCTTGCTGTTTGGACCAGCGCTTTTTGTGTAGGTCCTTGGCATGCGGGCTTCCCTGTTGGTTTTTGCAGGTTCACAACAGAATTTGAGGCAGACGCCCTTTGCCTGTGACATCCTCTGGCCTGAGACCCACTTTTTGGCCCGAGCGCGTCGCCGCGTGCGGCCATGCCCAGCCCGGGCACCTGGAGAATGTTCCGAGATTTGCTGCAAAGCGTCTGTCGCCTAGTTCAAACAGAGACACGCCCCCGCTGACTCAGCTACACCACCACAGGTGGGGAAACATGCTGACATATACTCGCCAGAAGCCGTGGCCAAGCAGAAAGACAAAAGGCCGCAGCCGTAGGCGTCGGTTTTAGGTTAGTTTGGACATAGATGGCACTGGTTTAGATAGGTCTTCTTCCATTTACCAGAGCAACCCATTTTTCCAAAACCTATGGCCGCAGCACGTTCTTACTTCGAGTTTGTGTGTTTGGGTTGGCTTGAAGGCTTCAAGGGTGCACGTTGGACTGCCCGCGAAATTTGGGTGGTGCTTCGTTTGTTGCAGAAGATTCCAGCAAGGGCTTTCGGGGGGTCGGTGCTTTGCAACCCGTGTTGGATGACAGGAAATCGGTGGAGCTACGCGTGGGACCTGTGAAGCGGTTTCTCCCTTTTTGTGCTGCATATCGCTGTACATTTGTCTGATTGGAGCAGGCATATTTAGTCGAATCACGTGCAGATCATGTCCGGTCCTAGTGTGACTGGCCTAGCTCTGTTTCCAAGAGGGCCAAGCTGTGTGCACTTGTCAAGTGTTTGCTACACTTTCCTGATCACGGGCTGCCTGTTAGCGCTTTGTGCAAGCCGCGAATTCAGAGGGTCAGACATTCTCTTGAGTGTTGCCTGTGTTGGATGATAGGTCGGAAGGAAGGAAGCGACCATTCAGAGCTCCGAACTCCAATTTTCAAACGTAGCCGGTCCTAGGTGCAACCAGGCCTCATAGCTTCCAACGATTGAAGAAAGCAAGGGCACGAGAACAAAGGTTTGAACCCTAGGTAAAATCATCACTATGGGTGGGGTGATGTTTACAGGGGGATTCCTTTTGGACAACTACTCAGTACACATTTTCCCTCCTGTGGTTTTCCCACTGACATTGAGCTCACAGCTTTGCGACCAAGGCTCCCTTAGGAAAGCATGGCCAGTCTCTGGATGGCGATGCTTGCAGATTTCGCACATGTTTCCTTTGGCGCCCGAGGCAATGGCATGTTCCAGCTCATGTCGGGCATCGCACTCCCTGCCTGTGGGCCTGCACAAAGGGTTGGGCCAATCCCAAGTTGGGATACAAGGCTTCCTGGCCTCCCAACTTGATCACGTGAGACAACCCCAATGAACGGGCCAATGGTCTGTTAGCAAATACGAAGATGAACCTTCCAAGGATTCGAGACAAGAACTCAGCTGACACCCACTGCAATTATCTGATCTCGGCCGTTGAAGAGATTCATGGGTCAATATGACTCCCGGCCAATGGCGGGCAGTTAAGTTCAAAATGCAGAGGGCTCCCTGTCTCACCTGCCCCTGAAGCAGAATGTTTCTTCAGACGGAGCCGCCAGGTGGGTGCCACTGCAGATGCCACTGGCCGCATGGAGAAGTTCACCGACTTGGTGATGGCCTCACTCCGGATGCGGATGGATCCAGAGTTCTTGTGGCATTCCGCTGAAAAGGGTGGCATACTGGTACTCCTTTTCCAGTCAAAGTGGGACAGTCAGCTCACTGAAAGCGAAGGACCGGAGGCTTCCTGGCGCTACCTTGGCCCTTTTGGTCCTTGGACAGACCCATTAGTTTGGCAAGCTTTCCATGAACCCTTTGCGGTGTCATTTTGCAGGCATCCCTGCTCACAAACAACCCCTCTGACCGGCTGCTTGCAGTCGCCTGCATAATAGCCACCGTACCATCTGGAATAGACGAGCATCCTCAGTTTCCCCGAATAGTCTTCAAGGAACATCTTGCAATGGGTGGAGAAAGCGGAGCCTTGAATTGTCTCTATGGAGGCAGTGCGGATGTATTTTTGCATGTCCCAGGTGAGAAGCCTCGTGGACCAGCATGACGTGCAGCAGCTTAAGGCTGACAGCCACTAGTGAACCTCAATCGAAGTGGCCCCACTTCACCATTTCTCACACAAAAGTTTTCCTTCGACTCCTTTAGGACAAAGCTCTTTTTGGAAGAAACTCCTGAAAACGTCACTTTTTTTTAAAGAGCCACCACCAAAGTAGGTTGAATGGAATCAAGGAAGTTCCTGTTGTTGGGACCCTGCAGTTGCACATTGAACATGGCGGGCCCAGTGGTATTGCCCAAACACAGATGAGCATGCCTTGAGCGGATGCCGCAAGCCCCAAAAGGGAATGGACCTAAAGGAACTAAGTCTGGGTTTAGGACTGGATCCAAATGGGAAAATGCCTGAATTCGCTTGGCGTGACTACTTGTACAGTGGCTTCCATTGGAAGGACTTGGAATCGTTGCAGGAGATGCAAAATTTGGGCTCCAAGTTGCGTGCTGCGTGGCATCCGAAGATTTGTAGAGCCGAAGTCTCCGGACGCTGGGCGCTTCAAATCGGCGCTTCGCCAGGATTTGGTGGACTGCATGCTGGCGGAGGACTGGCCGACGTACGGATCCCAACGTTTCGATGGCTCGCAAAGAGGGCTCCTGGGGAAAGCCCGCTGGCTGGACAAATGGGAAGGCGAGTCAGATGCGGGCAACGCGAACAGCTGAACTTTGGCCTGTTTGGAAACAAACAATCCCAAGCGCAGGCCAGAAACGCAAAGGTCTCGTGGGCACTGGAAGATCGCCAGGAGTCCAGCTTCGCGCTCTTTGCGCGGCCGGTGCTGCAGCAGGTGGGGCAACGGCTTTTGGATCTGGAGGGAACATGTCAAATCCAGGAGTTGCTCCTTGGCATGTTGGGTGTATTTTAGTATGGGTCAACCAGATACATTTCAAACATGGGCGCAAAGATGGCAGACTCAGAGTTTCGAAAGAAACCTTCTGGGTTCATGCCCTTTCGTGGGCCACTGCTATGTAGAGTGGTCTGCTGCAAATGCCAAACACACCAAAGCTCCGACGGATTTGTTTGGCTGAGACTTGGGCCTATGGTGACATGCATGATGGGTTCAAGGAGCCCAATGCCTCTTCTAAGGGGGCTGGCCAGTTGGTGAGGCTTGGAAAAAGAGGCGCACGCTGCAACTTTGTAAAGCCACGTGATTTTTTTCTTCTTTTTCTTCCAATGTTCTTTCCCATCATTTGCCCATGTGGGAGTCCCTATTTCTGCTTTTGGGCTTGTTCGCGCCCCTTCGGACAGATCGCGGAGCAGATGGAGAAGCTGAAGAATGAAGACCTGAAGGCCTCGTTCTCCAGCTGCCAAAAGAACTACCAAGAAACAATTTATTCAACAGTATAGACCTAATGCAATCAATATACAACCACCATCAAGGGCATACATCCAATGTGTTTTTTGGGGAAGAAGTGGTTTCGGGGCAGTGGACACCATTTGTATTGTAATATGCCTCATCTTGCCTGTGCATGGAGCACTAGGTTAATCTCCAAATAGATGGTTGCCCGACAGGAACCTGGCCGCTGGCTGTTTTTTTGCCTGGACCCTGCCTTTCGCTGACCAGGTGTTTCAGGGACCCGTGCGCCGTTTTTTGGTTGTAGATTCCAAACCTAAGTTCGGTCGCGTCCGAACCTGTCCTTGGTACCAGCGAGTTCGTTTTTGAAGTCGGGACAGGAGTTGGCCCTCCACACCTTGGAGAGACTCCGTGGGCGTGTGGTCTCTTTTGAGGAGGAGGATGCTGAGCCGAACCGCACTGGGACGCTGACTTGGTCGGATGAAGTTTTGGGGCTGGTGTGTGACCAGCTTGAAGCCTAAGGAAAAGCATTGAGTACTGGCAAACTTTGTCGAGTTTACAATGATGCCGCATGTTTGCAAATTCAGAAGAGCTGGCAAGCACATGAAGCTCAATACCCGCAAGGTCAAGAGATGCAAGCTGATCCCCAGAGACATTGGTCAGCTTCGACATGTGCCCCTCGGGTACCCGGAACCCATCGATGTGCCAATGGGAGGACTTTGTGATCCGTGATCTCCTGTCGGAGGTGTTCCAGGCGGAGGGCGCACCTGCCCCAGCGAACCAGCGTAGCGACCAGCGACTCGCTTTGGCCAAGGCCGCAAAATCTAAACTTGCTGGTTCGATAGGCAGGGAATGAGAAATGGAATGACCCTTAGAAACCATCCAACTGGTGGTTTCTTTTAAGGGAATTCTCAGGTTCAGTCCTACACCGAGCACCAGCAAGTAACTTTCCATCCCTAAGAAAGGACCCTTATTTAAGTAGTTTTACATTCTACCATTCGCGTTGGAACGAAGGATCTTGGGCGTGTGGACCCGCATTGATTCGCGTGTCATTGGTCAAGACATGGCAAATCCCCCTAATGTTCCAACTGAAGGCAGGTTGGGAGCCCAATTTTGGGTCTCTCCCAGCGGGTTTCCAAGGACTGGGCTGAGGCAGCCAAGGTCCTGGCCGCCATCAACCTCGAGACAGGTGAGCTGCGACTTTTTTTTTGCGCACGCGCGGTTTGTTGGACGCCCCAAAACCGCGTCCCTGCCGGAAACACCAGCGGCTGTCATGAGGTAAGGTCGACCCCCCCCCCACTCCTGACCCCCCCCCCCCAATGTCATGGTTTCATGCCGTTGACGAGCGAGAAACCACCTGTGGGGGGTGGGGTCGATGCGGGGCACGTGCACAGCCATGTTTGAAGGGATGCGCGATTTTGAGTATTGGTCGATCTAGGTGTGAATGACCGGCCAGCTTAATGTTTTGGGCAATATTGGATGACGGCTGGGTTTCAAGAGCTGTTCGGCAGCATTTCCTGAAGAGTCTTTTGTGGGGTCGCTCATGTTCGCGAAATATTTGGGCACTGTAAGCACAAGGATATCCACATCTTTCCCCGGCCTCAGGGACTCGGTGTCGCACCCCGCTTCAGAAGGCGGGCAGCTGTCAAAGGACTTAATCGGCTGGACATCGCTCAAGAGCTTGGGTTGCTGCTTGGGCGGTTTGATGCTTTCGGACTGACCGTTTTAAAGGAGATGGACGTAGATGGACGAATTCAATCGATCAAGCTCCCTATCCAGACCATGAAATGCAATTTAGCCATGAGCCTGGCTGGCACAGCTCAGCTCCCTCGGAAGGCGGAGAAGTATGTCAAGATCGCAGAGCTCTACCTAGAGGACAGGGACCCTGTAGCGGCTGACACCTTCTGCTCCCGAGCAGCGATGGTGATGCATGAGGCTGGAAGCGGCCGCGGTTCTTTGCGGCCATTCGGCTGTTGAAGGGAATTAATTCCAAGAGAGTGGCAATGTAAACAAGTACAGGTCCCATGCTGATGCTAGACTCGCATTGCTTGGTTTTAGCTGTTCTTACGAACATTCGCCCACAACGGCATGCCAGCTTTCAACGAGATTTGGTGAGCTGAAACAGGTCATTTCGACATTTCCTTTTGGTAACATGGCTGTGTCCAGGCAGTGCAGACAAGCTTTGCTGTGTGTGCCTATGTGTGGTACCTACCAATCAAGACTGCAGGGTAACTTGAAGGAGAATGGGCAGGCTGCTAGTCTTCTAATCTTACAAGGGTGAATGGAAGGTACTAAGTGGACAGGGCCCCCCTTCGTCAATGGGTGTGGGTGTGGTTGTGGCCTAGTACCAATCTGAGACATTTCAGCGGGAAGCGCCACTAAAACCCCTTGCATCTCAAGGATGTCACGCTGTCGTGCCTTTCTGCCGGCCAGCCTTGGACAGCCTTTGTCGTTGGTTGCGCGGGTGAGTGCGTCGTTGCCCCTTCGCACCACTTTGGGACACAACTTTGGGACAGAGGGGCACCGGTATGTTGAACTCCCACTGAAGTCAGCACAATGACGTCTGTTCATCCTTCACCCACCCTGGCAACTCGTTTGCTTTGCGCTTGCCAACGTGAAGCGAGTCCCAGGGTTCTATGCCTAGTAGTTGCGCGCCCCCAGGAAGAAGGGCCCGGACTCATGCTTCCAGTATGGCTGCAAACAACCTAAAGAATCAAGCTCAAAGCAACCAGTCATTTATTTGTTCCTCCCCACGCTGCTCGCAGCAGTTTGCAACATGAAGGCAGGCGGACGAAGCGAATTAAGAAACATGTCAATTTTGTCCAGGACAGGTTGGTGCAAGTCAGTGGCACGTCGGCTGATGGGTTGGTTGATTGGTTGTCCTTGGAACATCGAGCGATGCAGCATAGATTTGCCGTCGATCACTATTCCCAAGAACAAATGCTTGGACAGTGTTTCTGGTATTGTCTGCCCTCTTCTCACCATCGGCTTGAAGCAGCATCAGAGATACTTGCATTCCATCAACAATTTCATCTGTGGCGCTTGGGCTTCAACGAAAGTAAGCTGCACACTGGCCAGGTCAATGATACACCTCTGCAGCTCCGCTACAGAGTATGCCACGCTGCCTCCCCAGAGAGACGATTCTTGGAGACTGCGTGACCCAAAGTCCCTGTTTCTGGCCCTGGCCATATCCCCCGTTCTGGCCACCTTTTTTGGTGGGTGAATCAAATGCAACACTGCGGTATATAATGTAAGAGTGGCAGGGGCTAATCGAAGAGCGATTGCACTTGGCAAATTCACCGAATGGTAGAAGTCTTGCCAGAAAGCTGGCTCATTCTATAGTCACTACTTGTTGGTATTTCAGTTGTCAGTACTTGCGAGCGCTTGATTGCTCGCTCCCAAGGCTAGAGTTCTGGACAGCAAGAGGAGTGCTTTGGGCGTGCCTTTGATACACAGAGTCAGCAACACTTACGGCGTGCTGATGTCAGTCCGCTGTTTTTGGGCTGTGGCCCCAGCTGGGCGGATGATCAGTGGGTTGAGGTTTCGGCATTTTTGCAGAAGACGACATGCAAACATATTGGGTGTGTCCTAAGCGGTTTTCTCTTGGGTTTCCTTTTCTAGCCCCATCCCAAAAACGGTCCCTCAAAAATGATGCCAAGACACGCGCTTTGCCAGCGCTCGCAACGTCGCCATGGCTGGCTCAAGCCTCTCGAGGCAGCTTGCATGAGTCATGGCTCATGGGACACCATGCGCACCAATCGAAGTGACCCAGCTTGTTGGTGTTGGGGATGACACAACAACATCGCTGCCCATGGTGTTATTTCTGACGTGGGGAGTTATTGTTTCTTAGGGAAGACCGGAGACTTTGGGCGTGGAGACTCCCACAGCCAACCAACCGTAGCGCAGCGGGTATCGAGCTAGCGTTCGGCGACTGATCGGCGTGGATGTAGCCCTTCCGCCATGTTCATCCCGCCGAATGGGCCTGGAGGTTCGGATAATGCCTCCCAGGGCTCTGGCACTGGCATGGGCATGCCGGGCAGCCCGGGCATCGGGGGCTGCGGGGGCTGCGGGGGCTGTGGGGGCTGCGGCGGCTGTGGGGGCTGCGGCGGCTGTGGCTGCATGCCCATGATGGGCATGCCCTCCGGAATGCCAACAGGGATGCCTGCGGGCATGCCTGGGCAGATGCCGGGGATGATGCCGGGCATGATGCCAGGCATGATGCCAGGCATGATGCCGGGGATGGGTATGATGGGGATGAACCCCATGATGGCCATGATGGCTCAGATGGCCTCCATGAACAATGACAATGACGAGGAGGAGAAGAAGCAGGCTGGGAACAGTAGGGGGTTTGTCATACGCGGCACGAGCAGTTTGAGTGCTCGTGACTTTCTAGATATGGAACTTTCTGGTGAAATCAAGCCTCCTCATTTGCTCTTAAAAGCTACATACTAGCTGGTTGCAAGATCCTGGATTTGAATCTTGTGATGTTACCGGCTGCCACTGTCCGCGCACTTGCTCGCCCACTCGCCCACTCGCCCACTCGTCTGGCTCACTCCTCGCTTCGTTCCTGCGCATGAGCTTGCTGTTGAGCTTCGGCAGGAGGAGGGCCCGGTGGAGCAGACGATCCGAAAAGGCGATGGGATGGGTTTTGTGTTTTGAAGTAGCTCGATGGCCCGAAGCGAAGCAAGCTGACCATCACGATTCCTTTCGCTTGGGGTACTTTTGGTCTTGGCTTTGTTAAATTGAAGCACACCAGGGTGCGGGACCCGGTCGCGCACCGGTTCTGTGAAAAAATGCCCCTAATGTGTCAACATGAGGCTTCTCGTCCTTTTCAACATGTTGCATTCATACAAGTGCTTACATGAACATATTTCGGATTTGTCGTCCGCAGCTGCAAAAGACGCTTTTGTGGCTACAAGGAAGGATCCATGGAACGGTGTGGACCGAAGGGCTCCACATGCAGGAGCTCTTGAACTTGCAATTTGCAAGTCCCACTCGCGACAATCAATTTGTGGGGTCCCAAACTCACCGAATCATTCTCAAGTCATGATTTGGGTCTGCTTTTAGTTGTGGGCCTCAAAGGCCAGGCTGACCTTTGATTTCCAGGTCCCCTATGCTTGAGCACACTTGCGTTTGATTTGAATGTGTGGATCTGCGGATTGCATAGTAGACTTCGCGCCTCTTTAGGTGCGCAGTTTGACCCTCCAGTTGGCTCTGCGACCAACTGACCCCATCAGCAAATTGGTTTGAAGGCACGACAATGGAGTCAGCATGGGTCCAAGGTTCCTGACGAGTTGGATCACTTCCTTTGGAGGGCAGGTGTGCTCAACATGGGGATTTGTGACATGGAAGGGCATTTCGGCCCCACCAAGACCAACCGCTTACTAGCTTGGCTTCCCTCGAACAAAAACACCATCCAGCTTCGAAAGCGAACAGAGACCGCCAGATGGTTTGACTGCACCAAGGCACCTGGCCCACAGTGGGTTTCTTTCTTACTGTCGCCTCGACAGTTCCCGGAGGCGCAGGCAAAGGCAGAAGCAAGGGGAAGCGTGCGCCGAACGCGGAGCACTGCCTGCCTCAGATCCACCCGGAGGCTCGCAACGGGCTGACAGCCAGCGTGTCTTTTTTTCAGGGCACCCTTTTGGATGGTTTTAAAAGGGAAGCCAAAAGGAACACCAACCTTTTTTGGGGTCCCCGAAATAATACACGCACCCGCATCCTTTCTTTTTTTCTCCTTCTTCCTTCTACTTCTTTGCGTTTTTGTTGGCATTGTGTTGGGAAAGCCGGGTAGGGTTGCCGTGCCAAAGCAACGCTTTTGGAATGCTTTGGTCGGGAAAAGGCAAGCCAAGGTCGTTTCCTCAGTAGCATTCTTGGTCTAAACTTTAAATCCCTGGTACGTACCTTGCAATAGGAGAACATTTGTGAGGCTTTGGCAGGTGAGGTTCTCTCTGCTTTGTTTTCTCGCGCTCCTGGTGGGGCTCATGTCTGAAGATCTGTCACTCGAGTGCCCGCTTGAGTGGCCTTGAGTACGGGGTGTCCAAATCTTCGTATCATCTCAAACCGCGCTGGCCCGATGGCAACGGCAGGTGGAGGCTCTCTGCAAAAAGTTTAACATCGAGGACAAGCTGCTTGCTTCAAACGGATGGCTCCATGCTTTGGTCCCCATATTCTTTGTGAGAAATAGGTGAGTTTCCTTTTATGTTATGATTAGATGAAACACAGGGAAGAAGAGGGCCCTATTTGTTGGCCCTAGTGGTGGGTTGCTGTGCCCTACGAAGAATCTACGGGACGAAAATTGCAAGAGATGTTTGCTGAAGGTCTTTAGCGGGGATGGCTGGCTCGTTCATGTCAATGCGAAGTACCTCGTAAGATATGCAAAAGGGGAGCAACAGGTTGTCGTTTTCGTCGACGGATTTTGTTGATCTCCAGTTGGCCCGTGGCTGTTGGTCATTTTAGCTGTTTGGCTTTTGGCAAACCAATCCTAAACCTACCCCACCCAAACCAATCCTAAACTCACCCTTTAGCCAACCCCGCACCCACCCAACCCTAAACAGCCCTAAACCCAACCTTTACCCGATCTAAACAGGCCCAAAACCGACCCTCAATCCTAAACCAACACTTAATCAACCCCAAACCCACCCTAACCCTCACATGTAAAATCAATCCGACGCGTTCGGTCCCGGGCAAGCCCTTGAGCCTGTTCAAAAAGGCAATTGCGACAAGTGCAATGCTCACCGCTGCTTGTGGAGCCTCCTAGCTTGCCGACTGCCAGACATTTTTGTTGGATCCCCACTTGCAGCCCGGCCTCCCAGGGTACTTGGCATCCAAGGATCGTACGCCGCCTGGATGATGTTATGAGAAACAGGGAGGACAGCTTTGATGCCGACCTGAGGGCCCTCTACGAGGCCTTGAGACAGATCTTTTTCGGGCTCGGAACAATTTCGCTCAACCGGCTGGACTTGTGGCTCCTCTTTTGTCAGGGTAAAAGGAGCCAGGAGGCATCTGCCTTTTCCAGGCTTGGGTTTGTGAGGAAAACCGAGCTGTGACCAATGGTTCTCCGAGGGAAGGAAAGCAGTCAGCTGTGAAATGCTTGGCAGGCTTACATTCCTCAAACCAAGCCTGACCCTTGCTTGTTCTTTTGACCATGTCTGAGCGGATGCGGTAGGATGTATACACCAAACAACAGATGCATGGGTACAGTGAGTTTGATCCTCACACAGCTGGCCATAGCTTTCTGCAGCAGCCTATCAGAGACTGTGGCAGGTCTGCGAGACCGCGAAGAAGCCGTCAGGGTCATTGATGGAACTTGGGCTGCGAATGGCCAAAGCTCCTTTCCTTTCCTTCCTTTCCCTTCCTTTCCTTTCCTTTTGCTTTCCCTTCCTTTCCCTTCCTCCCTTTCCTTTCCCTTCCTTTCCCTTCCTTTCCCTTCCTTTCCCTTCCTTTCCCTTCCTTTCCCTTCCTTTCCCTTCCTTTCCCTTCCTTTCCCTTCCTTTCCCTTCCTTTCCCTTCCTTTCCCTTCCTTTCCCTTCCTTTCCCTTCCTTTCCCTTCCTTTCCCTTTCTTGCTTGCCCTTTCCCTTCCTTTCCCTTCCTTTCCCTTCCTTTCCCTTCCTTTCCCTTCCTTTCCCTTCCTTTCCCTTCCTTTCCCTTCCTTTCCCTTCCTTTCCCTCTTGCTTGCCTGCTTGCCTGCGTGCCTGCGTGCCTGCATGCTTGCATGCTTGCGTGGTTGCTTGCTAGCTGGCTGGCTGGTGTGCGTGCGTGCGTGCGTGCTTGCTTGCGCGCTTCCTTGCTTGCTTGCTTTTGTGCGTGCGTGCGTGCGTGCTTGCTTGCTTTCGTGCGCGCTTGCTTGCTTTCGTGTGTGCGTGCGCGCTTGCTTTCCTCTCTCCCTCTCTCTCTCTCTCTCTGTATCTCTCTCTCTCTCTCTCTCTCTCTCGCTCTCTTCCTCACTGTCCTTCTCTCCTCCTCACGGCCGATTATCCGAATTCGCTTGGCTCCGAGGTGAAGATCGGGGAGCTGGAGAGAGGATGCTTCACTGGCAGTGGAAAGCTGGACCAGTGCATGCTCACCTTCAGGAGAGGTGGTAATTTGCGTCTGTTTGCCAGAGTCAAATTTTGGTTTGGCAGGAGCAAGTACAAGCTTGATGATCGGGCCCATGCAAGGCAGGGTGGCCTGTTTCAGTGGCAAGGCCTGGGCAACTTGTCTCATTCGGCCGTTTCAGTTCGAGAGACTTGGGAACGGGGGAAGGCTTGAGAAAGACAGGCCCAAGGCTCATCCAGCTTTGCCACCCTTACTTTGTGGCAGCTGGACAGGTTTGTGGAGGTTTGCCACCCTCGGAGTCAGAAGCTGGACGACATCCGAACACTTGCCACTTGGATATCAGAATTCATTCCACCCGCTGATGAAGGGATGGCAGCTGAAGAGAGGAGTCATTGAAGGCCTAATTGTTTGGGGTTGTTCAAATGGATAACCGGGATCATATGAAAAGCACCTCTTTTCTCCTTGTGCTCAGCAGGGCAGGTCCCGGGCAGGCAAACTTGGATGTGTTTCGCAGTGTGAAAGAGGTGCCTGTTTGTTTGTTGTCAACACATCAGGCGCCAGGGCATGCCTTCAGATTGCCGTGCCCGTTCTTTGAAATCAGGAGAGGTATCTCAAAGGAGTGCCGAACCCTTCTCAGGCGCGGCCGGTGCCAGTCAACCGCGTCATGAAACTCATTGAGCCGCGTTGTTATTGCTTCTGCGTGCCGGAGCTTGTATCACTTGCATCGTGATGGCTGGGCTTTGAGATGCAAACGGCCAGGCCATCCTGCCTCTTCTCACGAGAATTGAGCCTTTTGGGCTGCATTGTCAGCTGGATGCTTCCGGGAGCACGGGCAGCGCACGTTCGCGTCATGGGGGACACCGAGTCCGACCAAGTGCAAACCATGGCATTACCCGGTGTCATCCACAGGTTCTGAATGGCAACATGTTGCGGCTTTCCTCTGCATTCGGGCCTTGGAGACGACAGACTTTAGGACAGGTGCTTTACGATGCCTAGCGAGAGTCTGGACCCGCACTTCCGAGGAAAGAAGGCCAGTTGGCGAGTCCGGATCGGAGCAAAGATCGGGAGAAAGAGAGGGCAGGCACGGCCGGGATTTGACATCCAGGGCAGACAGTGACAAGCTGCACAGCCATGCGTGTTGTCGTGCACAATTCCTTTCAGATGTAACAAATTCTTTCGCGAGGTTGTTGGTGTTGGTTTGGCAATCTCGTGGCAATAGAGGCCATCAAAGACAGGCGGTTGTCCCTAGACGTGTGACATGCTGAGGAATACAGCTCTCCCATCAGAACATGGGGCATTTACTCACCGACTTCCCGCGTGAATTGGTACGGCAATTCTCGCCATGGCTCATATCAGTCATTTCCTGCTTGGAACTTGAGCCTTGATTACCGGACTTGGCTGGGGGGCTTGGGTCTTGGACAGCCTGCCTCTCAAGTCATTTCGAGTTGGCATTTGCCGTCGTTGCCAGGGAGGAGACATGAAAGCCGCTCCCGGTCGCGGTCATGGTCGCGAAAGAAGAAGTCCAGATCCAAGCCGGGAGCCTAGAAAGACTATCCGAAATCTTTGGGCACATTGTCACCATTTTGAGGGCTCTCCAACTGCGACTGGCGGCGAAATCACAGAACGAGTTCGATGGCTTAACATTGGCGGGAAAACCATGGGCTCAGTTGATGGGTGGTTGGTCGGTCAGTCTGGTCTTTTGCAGACAGGCAGACTTGGAGCTGGCTTTATTTTTCGGAGTTGTGGTACAGAGGGTTTTGGGGCTGTCGGGAGTTGGTAAGTGTCGGTCTCGGGGGGGCTTGAGCTTGGCTGGGCTTTGTGAAAGAGTCGACCGGGGCTTGGTACTCCAGGAAACGTTGCTGCTCCCCTTGCCCGGCGCGTAGATTGGATATCACGTTTCGATTCAATCAAGACAGCCGCAAAATACGGGTGGGCAGTGTTTTTCAGAAATCATGGAATCACTATACTAGGTTTGTAAACACCACGCTCAAGCGGGGTACACCTTGCCGCAGCGCAGTTCCAGTGCCGCTTGGCCGGAATGTTCTCTGGAAGCATTCCGGGGGTTGGAGGGATGGGGGGTGGCAGCAGCTATTTTTTATCTTTTGAGGCTTGCTCGCAGGTGCATGGGGCTTTCTTTGCTTGAGGTTTTCGTGGATCATTTTTTCAGAGGTATATTATAGACCGAGCCTTTATGAAGGGAATCTTGAGGACCTGCCCACCTTACAATTCGCCACGTAGACTGCAGGGTGGGCGATCCCAGGGCCGTTTCGACGTCTGCAGGTCTCGCAAGAAGGCGAAGTCGAAGTCCAGATCACGATCTGGATCTTGACAGCACTGGCCTGCTTCTCGGTTAAAGCAGTGCCAGAGCAGAACACAGGAACAAAGCATGGATTACTTAGGAGGCACAACCTTCAATCCTATTTGGAATGCGAGGCGCATTGACGGTAAGAGATTACGAATGTCATGCACCCAAAAAGAGCTTGCTTTGTAGGCCTGTGACTTGAGCGCTTGGTTTCCGAGTGAGGACGGTGAGCGCCGAGTAGCCTGTGAGCCGCTAGCTGCAATGAGCCTTTCACATCTCCATCCGAATGGCCAGTGAGTCGGATGCAGTCGTATCCTGTGAAGGTGCTCAGCTCTGGAAGCCAGAACTTATGAGTTCCTTGCAGGATTCTTAGGCAACATCTAAGAAGTCAGAGACGTTTTCCTTGCTGGCTGATGTTCTTGAGCAACTGCCACGCCCATCCGTGCTCCGTTGCCGCCGCTCCGTGCTTGGCAGTGAAAAGTCGCGGCGGGGTCATCCCAGGTGCAGGGTGTCCGGGTTTCGGCTCAGGGCAGGATCCATCAAGCGGATTTTGGGTGTGGCTCAAAGTTCGAGAGCTAGGGTTACGCAGGTTTCGTGGCTGTTTCCCATCAACCAGGGTGCCATTTTGGGTACCATTTTGTGAGCCACAGCCATTGAGGCGTGGACTCTGTGTTTTTGTGTTTTGTCGCCAGCCTCTTCCTCGGCTGCCTTGTTTTCGGCAAGCCGGTGTCTTGAGAGCGAGCATTGCGCCCCAAGGGAGGCGGCTTCCAAGCGCCATCGCCCAGGTTCCTTTCATCATCGAAAGAAACAGGTTGGCTTGGTTGAAACTTTGACCGTTTGTTTTCTTTTTTTTCTCTTTTTTTTCTTATTTTTTTTCACAAGTCGACGTTGTGGACGATCCTGTTTGATTCTACAGGCTTTGCCTCGTGGGCATGGTCTGCCTGTGGACGGACGACCGAAATCCGATATCATTCTACTGCCCCTCTCCTGGGTTTGCAGGAAGTTCCTGGATGCTGCCTCCAAGTACTGCGACCTATCGCAGCAAACCTTTGGGGGACAGATATGCGAGGCGCAAGATTCAATCGGCAGGCAAAGGGCTGGGAAGCTCGCTCTTTTTGTTTGTTTCTTCTTTCTTTCTTTCTTTCCTTCCTTCCTTCCTTCCTTCCTTCCTTCCTTCCTTCCTTCCTTCCTTCCTTCCTTCCTTCCTTCCTTCCTTCCTTCCTTCCTTCCTTCCTTCCTTCCTTCCTTCCTTCCTATTCCTTCTTTCCTTCTTCCTTCTTTGCTTCTTTGCTTCTTTATTTCCCTTTTTGCTCTCTCTCTCTCTCTCTCTCTCGCTCTCTTCCCTCGCTCTTTGTCGCTCTCCCTCTCCCTCCCTCCCTCCCTCCCTCCCTCCCTCCCTCCCTCTCCCCCCCCAAAAAAAACCAAGGGTGCGGGTGGAACCAGGATGGCCAGAAACTGAGCAAGAAATGGACCAACAACCACTCGTTTGCTTTCGGTCCCTTGGCCTGCTTTCACGACCCGGACTCAACCGTCAATCAATTTCGATGGAGTCGGACAGTTTGCGGATGGGGCAGCAAAGTTGGGCTTGCCATCCGAATCATTTCCAAGTGGGCATGGATTGAACGGATACATTTCTCCTTTGCTGATTTTCGACCGCATGCAGCATGCCAACTTTCTGAAAGCCTCCCGCAGCGACTGCCAGAACCTCGAATAGGTGCTGACACCGATGGGTTGCCCTGAGTCGAACATGAGCCCCAATGGCCACGTTCGTCATACCTAAATGCTTTGAACATGGCTACTTGAGGTGCCCGCTCAAACGCGCTTTGGAGGGCAAGTCTGGTGCCAGCAGCCGCGGTAATTCCAGCTCCAATAGCGTATATTAAAGTTGTTGCGGTTAAAAAGCTCGTAGTTGGATTTCTGTTGGGGGTGACCGGTCCGCCTTCTGGGCGCTTGCAAGAGGGGACCTCAAAGGGCTGCATTTGTTGGGATTTGTCAGGCCGATCTCTTGCAGCTCCTGAAGTGTGCCAGAGCCTCAGCCCGGGCTGGGAGGCAGGGTATTGAATGCGCTCGCTTTCCGAATAAATTGTCTCCAAGCAAGACAGCCCGGGAAGGGTTTTGTTGGAGGACAACTTGTGGATCCATCGAGGATTTGCTGCTGCTGCTGCTGCTGCTGCTGCTGCTGCTGCTGCTGCTGTTGCTGCCGTCTTCCAACTGCTGGTTGCGCAGCACATGCCGTTCTAGGGGCTTGATTCCCAATTCTTTTCAACCATAGTCGTTGTCAAACAAAAACACAAACTGGAAGCTGCCACTATAAGTAGCTTGGAAGGATCAGAGGAGTGCGGCAGCTTATCGCCAGCAAACCGCTGGCACGCTCTTGGTGTTTTACATAGGCGCAACTGCCACTCCCACGCTCTTGGGCCTGTTCGAGGCAGTGACCTGCGCCATATTGGCACCTGCGGGCCCGCAGAGATCCAGGCGAGGAGATTGACCGTCCTGGCCCAGAAAGCTTAATTTGTCCTTTGGGTTGTGGCAGGCCCCTTTTGAAGTGGCCTCTCTCTCTGCATTCAATCCAGGCTGCTGACCCTCTATTTGAATAATCGGGAAGGGCCAATCACTTTCTTGCCCATTGCCTTTGGGAAAGTATGGTAGTGCTCAGAGTGGAATGTGAGATGAGGGCCTCAAGTTGATGTTACTTGCATTGATGCCTGCGCCAAGAATGTAGTAAAGTTGGTCAGCGGGCCCTTTAGAGAGCTAGCAGAGCGACTTGCCGCCTCGGAGCACACACAGACAGTAAATTTTGTTAAGCAACTACTCGTGAGGTTCTCAGCACACCCAAAGTCGACAATGAGGCATTTGGTTCTGCCAGACAATGACCTGAATTCTTGGCAGTTTCAGTCTGTTTGTTGCTGCTGCTGCTGCTACTACTGTTTTTTGTTTTTTGTTTTTGTGTTTGTTTGTTCTTTTTTGTTTGTTTGTTTGTTTGCTTGCTTGCTTGTTTGTTTGTTTGTTTGATTGTTTGTTTGTTGATTTGTTTTGTTTGTATATGTGTTTGTTGTTTGTTCTTGGTTGTTTGTGGTTGTTTGTGGTTGTTGCGCGGTGTTTGCTGCTGTTGTTGTTGTTGTTGTTGTTGTTGTTGTTGTTGTTGTTGTTGTTGTTGTTGTTGTTGTTGTTGTTGGTGGTGGTGGTGGTGGTGGTTGTTGTTGGTGGTGGTGGTTGTTGTTGGTTGTTGTTGTTGGTTGTTGTTGTTGGTTGTTGCTGTTGGTTGTTGTTGTTGGTTGTTGTTGTTGGTTGTTGTTGTTGTTGTTG